GGTTTAGATCATTTCTTATGAATTATATATTTTTCTGGTATAAGTCTGCTGTTTTACATGATTGTGGAATGAAATTAACATAGTTATTAATTTATTGTAAAAACATGACAGATAATCTGTGAAACAGATCCAGTTCAGCTGCTGTTTATCTGTTTCTATAGTGGATGTGAGCTGTTGCCCTGTTAGGTCTGTTTCTACTCCTCCATGTTGTCACAGACACTACCAGTGGACGGGATGGGCAAAGCTTAGTCTAGTGTTCTTATTCAAGTCTATGTTTGCTTATAGTAATGGTGTTTTCCATCTGGCCACATTTTGGCTGCTAAAACTTCAGATTTTGTTAGTAAATAGTTTAAAGAACTAAAGTCAGTCAGTGGAACTGTACTGTGGCTGTCAGTAATTATGTGTTTTAGCCACTAAGGAGAGGTGTGATTTAATAAGAGAGGGTAATAAATCACTCAATAGACCTCCAAAAAAGGTGTCCCCTCACTTCTGAGATGATGGTTACGCCCTTGAGTGAAGGCACCAGCAAAATGTCTGGTTTTCTCCTYCTTTTGTTAAACTGTCTGTTGGAGCTCTTGCAGAGAGGCTGCCTGTCACTGTGAACGTGAGTTGAGATCTTCTCCTCATTGGTCAGTCCACACGAGGTGGGTCAGGTGACTGAGAGGGTTGTGTAACGTCAAGTTTTGCRTTTGTGTAAATGGAGGACACTTCCCTCGATCTCAGTGTAGTGGTTCATGTTTACCAGGTTATACTGATGTGTTTTGTTTTCATAGCATCATGTGATGGAGTGTCCTTGACAAGAGGACATAGTGTATTTGTAGTTCTATGAGCATTTGTACATCAAAATACACTTAGAATTTGAGGTATTGAGTATATTTACTATACATTGCAATAATTTACTCTGTATTTAACAGACTGGTAATCCTGGGGTCGTGATAATGGGGCCCTTGAATATTGTTGCCCAGGGTACTGCAAAGTGTTAATCCGGCCCTGCTGATCCCCCATAGTTGTCTCCTTAGCTTCTGGGAAAGCTGGGCTAACTGAGCTGGCAGCCATGTCCTGCTCTGACTTGTTGGCTTGATGTTTTTTAGGCATTTTGTCCATGAACTGGACTAGTTGTCTTCTGATATGCTCTTACTCACTAACGTGTAACAATACTGCAAAGTTTCTGAAGAGTATTATAAATGGAATGGCTCCAGTGCGGAGCTCACAAACTCACGTCCTCACATGGCGCTGCCTCAACCGGAAGTCTCAAATCAATGGTAGTTTAAAGATTTATCTGCAGCAGGTAAGGTATTATTTCTTCATATTATTTCCATAGAACCCAAAAGAACCAAACATGCTTCTTTAATATCACAGAAACTTATTATTTATTTAAAATCTTAAATCCACAGACTCCACGTTTGTTATTTATTAAAAATTTAAGTTTCTTATCTGAAGGTAAGTTTAAAATGAAAACTAATAATAGAAATGTGTTAAACTAAATATAGCTTAACCCCCCCTCCAAAAAAACACTATAATTACTAAACAATAAAACAAACACTACACATCACAGAATGTGGTGACTATTTAGGCATAGATTTCTTATTTTAAGGAGAATGAAAAGTTAAAGAGGTGAGTTTAAAAAAAATGCAAGTTCCATTTATTTTCTTCCACAAACTTACCATAAAGAATATTCCAGATGCTGAGACCAGAAGGCGGCTGTATTTGTCAGAGAAGGCCTGGTGAGGCTCAGGTTTTCCTGATATGGGGTTCATCCTCTCCTTCTTGGAGTATTTGGCTTCAAACTGGGGTCGTATTTCATCCTGAAACCCAGGAAGTAATATTAGACAAGATTATTCAGTTGTGTTGGGTTTAATAAAGGTAAATTCACAACAAACTGTCAAACACATAGACAGAGGAGTGACAAAGCAATTTTTCCACCACCAGTCACAATGGCGGAGCTAGGGGCTGCCTAATGGTGGTCTTGTCCACCGTATAATAATCTTTGGCCACTGCAATCATTTGAGGAAACTATACTTTTAAGCAAATAAATACTAAAAACCATAGTTTCCTCAAATGATAGTCGTGGCCAAAGATTATTATACGGTGGA